CAGTGGTTATAAGGTGCCAAGGGCGACCCATTTATTGTGTTTATGTATCTAAGATGTAGGATTGGTATGATATTTATATGTGTGATTTGTTCTATATATGTCGACATATGGGTGGCTGGTTTGAGGTCGCGTGCCAACAAACTCGGTATGGGTGGGTTGAGACTGGAATTCAACATACGCGATGTGGTTAGGTTGCAGCCACGTGCCAACAAACTTGGATGGCTGAGTTGAAGCCACATGCCAACAAACCCTGGATAGTTGGGTTGAGGTATTATTGCTCTGTGTTGTAAACTAACAAGCCCAGTATGGTTAGATTGAGGTCAATGACCATCAAACCATCTATGCATGCTTATATTATATCTGTAATTTTTTGCATTAAGGGGTATCTTGGGGAGCTCACTAAGCTTTGGCTTACAGTTTGGATTTTAATGTTTCAAGTACTTTTGATGATCTAGGAAAAGCGAAGACATGATTGTACACATCATCCCGCAATTTATGTTGATTGATACTTTGATTCGATGTTTTGACTTAATATGATTTGTAAACAATGTTTTAGTAACTTTTGGGCTCATGGATTTGTGTTTTAAATGAAAAATACTCTGATTTTTGGGACATTTCAAAGATTAAGAGGGTGTTCGGGACTTTATTTTGAACCTCAAAATGACTTATTGACTTATTGTGGTGAGAAAATGAGTTTTATTTTTAAAAGTGTTTGGATTAACTTTTGTGCTAAGAAAAGTCAACAAGTCAATAAGTTGTTTTAAAAAAAATGTTTGTCATAATTTAAGGGTTGTTTGATAGTTTCTAACTAGGTTATAGTTGACTGGGTTAGAAGTTCTGACTGAATTAACTTATGACTGAAACTTGTTGTTTGATTTTGCATTTGATTGACTATGCAAAATGACTATATTACCCTCAAACAACATTTTTTATATTAATTCATTTATGATTTCCCATTTAATATAACATTGCATTTTTATATAAAAACATTCAAAAAGATAAAATTGACTACATTACCCCTTGATGGAAATCTTCTATTCTTGATTCCAAACAAGGGAATGAACTTTGATCTAAACATGAAATTGACTGAATACTCTAAATTCGTTAAAAAGGAAGTTTGTATTTATCCATGTGGGTAGTTAGACATATGAAGAACTAATTTATCTTGGAGAATCAACTTCTTTAACATTATATTCTTTAACATATCATATTTGTAGCTCCTATCACCAGAAAATTTCACATTCAAATAGAATTCTATAGAACTTATATATATATATATATATATATATATATATATATATATATATATATATATATATATATATATATATATATATATATATGAGCTACTATATTGATATAAATAGGATTTTATAAAGGAATATATTGATTAAAAAAAGTTAAAGTGGAATGTTACATGTTCAATTTGCTTATTTACTTAAATTGATATACGTAAGATGCTAGCCTATTTTAATAAAGACATCATAAACACATTCTCTAGCATGGGCCTCCCTTAACTCTCAAGCACCTATAAATATAAAAAGCTTCGATGAACTAAATTTTAAGAAAATAAAAGTATGATACTACTCCTAGCAACATTCTATGTAACATAATCATGATGCCAAAGTAACATATAAATTACATGTAAAGTAACAATCATGTAAGAAAAAAAAGCCTAATTCATTAAGGTTGCTATCACTTTCAACCTGCATACTGAATTCCCATAATTTAAAAATGCATTTTGGTAAACTACACAAATTTTATAAAAAAAAGATTAGATGCCTTCTATAAAATCCTGTAAACATATGTAAATCAAATTAGTATGAAAACCAAATTTAGAGTCTTTTCAAAAGCAGAACAAAACTAAACTAGAGTATCAGAAAAAACAAAATCAGATGAAAGCTAGAATAAACGAAATTAAATGAAAGCTATAAAATCCCAACAACAATGTAAAAAGAGGGAACATAAAACTTAGATACAGACCTGGTCGGAAGAAAGGTGGTGTCTTGTTGCATAGTCGGAGGAAGACGAGGGAGTCCAAACTAGGGTGGTCGCCAATAGCGGGGGAGTAGGGAGAAAGTTTTCTTTCAGTGGAGGCATGAATACAAGAGTAAGGGACAATGGGAAATCAAGCTTTTGGTTAATTTTCGTCACGTTCCTTCATTGTGGGAGAGGGTACCGAATCAGTAATATATGATGCACCAAATCCACATTTGGGACCAACCTCGTGAGTTTAAAAATCATATCAAACATTCTAATTTGTACTTTTTGGATCCAATTAGAAGCTAAATCAAACACCCTTATACATGTTTTCATATTATCAAACACTTTTTATAACTTATTTACTTTTCAAAAAGCTAATAAGTCAATAAATTATTTTTAAATGAAATCCAAAACACCCTCTAAATTATAATATATTTTTATTGAAATAACCATTACAATTTGCTTGATTTTTATTATATGATAATATATAAATACATTTTTTTTAAATTATAATTCTATTTAATAAAATATAAAAGCTTATTAAAATGTAAAAATATGTTGTCAGATGTTAAAAATCATAAGCATATTGGTATCACGTGGTATATTGTAATCTATATTATATATAACTTAGGAATACTTATTGTTGATTTATTGCAAGAATAGAGCCTCTATGTCATGCAGACAATATTGTTTTGCATCTTCTTTATGGATATATGGATTTATTACATATATTGTTTAGGCAAAATGATTTATTAATTTATGGTGTTGAGAAAATGAGATTTTTAGAAAGTGTTTGGATTAGCTTTTGTAATAAGAAAAGTCAATAAATTATTAAGTTGTTTTTAAAAAAGTGTTTGTCTTAAATTATATATATACTTTAAAGGGTATTTGACTTTATAAGGATTTTGAAAAATTATAATAAATATAATTTTTTAATTATACTTTTATTTAATAAAATATAAAAACCGATTAAAATATAAAAATATATATTTTATGAAATGTATTTTTCACATTTTGATGATGGAACTAAATCAAAATTTGATACATAATTTACATCTATATACTGAGTACTTGGTTGAAATAAGTGCATGTAATTCATCCATCCATAGATCAATATGGAAGATGCAAAACAGTCTGGTCTACATGACATAGAAGTTGTATTGTTGTGATAACTCAGTAATAAGTATTCGTAATTTATATAGAATATAGATTACAATATACCACATGGATACAATATGATTACGATTTTAAAAATCCAAACAACAAACATCATACGGTATTCTTTCTCTCTTTGATTTTCATAATGATTACCAATGTAAACAATGGTTTCATAATTGTCTAAAAACCTATTTATGCAAACGACAAGAAATTTTCATCATCTTTCTTTTAATCGTGTTTTTGATACACACCAACCCACATGAAGATTTTTCAACCAAGTACTTGGTATGTGGATGCATTTCGTATCATACATTAATAATCAAACAAATTGTAATGGTTGTTTCAGCAAAAATAGATTATTAAATTTTAAAATAGATAAGAAGTGAGGTTAAACATTATTATGCATTGAAAAACATACATATATTTTGGTTTATTGACAAAAAGTCACCCTTGATACTGTGGTTATAATTTAACTATTGAAACTTGCTATTGTTTGTGGTTACTTGAAAGTTGATCTGAATTGCAAATAATATCCGCTTTCAAGGGTTTAATTGCAAAATAAATAAATAAATAAATAAAATCATGGGTGATTTTTTTGTCAACAGAGCCAAAATATATCAACTTTTATATATATATATATATATATATATATATATATATATATATATATTATGTGTACATGTTTGACATGTTCAAAATAGGATAATATTAATAGTTATTATGATGATATTACCCTATTATAAACACGTTAAAAAAGTTTACTGGTCAAATGTGTACACAAAAAAAGACATGGTTATCTAAATATTGATAGAAACCAAAGTTTGTTACCTACAAAATGATTATGGACTGTGTATTTTAGAGGTTTATGTACTTTATTTTTGTATCTATGATGTTAGTATGTTTTTCATGGGTGATGATGTTAGGTCCATCGACATCGGTACAGACGAAGAAAGTTGTGATAGCAGTGGTACATTTGTTTTTGTCAAAATATAATAAAATAGTAGTGTCACCTTTATTTGAAGTTGATGCACCTAATAGAAAAAAAAATACACCGACAGACCAAAACGAAGTAGTGGCTCAGGACCCCGCAAGCACCACACACATCCGCCACTGATTGGTATGCTAGTTCTACAAATAGAACACCTCCAAATCTAAAACAAACACATTCCATAATAGATTTTTGTGTAATGAACTTTGTTTTTTTGGCTACATTAAGGTAACCATTTTTAGTACATGTTTGACCAGTAAACTTGTTTGACATGTTAATAGAAGGATTATATAATCGGTAAATAAGTAATTACCAATAATATTTTTATGTTTTGAACATCTCAAACAAATTTATTGGTTAAAATGTATAAAGAAAAAAACATGATAATGTAAATATAGACAAAAATCAAAATTCATCACCCTCTTAGGTCATTAACTAATAATAATAATAATAATAATAATAATAATAATAATAATATTTAAATTTAGTTATATGGCATTTTAAAATTTTATATATTCTAAATGGAAAATATAAGGAAAAGTCCCAAAGTTTTCCCCAATTTATTATTTAGTCTTAAATTAGATTTCATTAATGAAAAAAGGACAGTTTGTCGGCTATTACACTCACTTTAGCCCTTCCATAAGGTAAAACTTTGATTAGCCAGTTACCCATGTTGATTGTGCCTTATTACCCACTATTAACACTCCCTGTCACTCACTCCTCTGTAAAAACCATTTGTCAAATGCAAACCCTAGATTAAAAGAATCGAACGACAAGAAAATTAAAACAACTCCACGTGGTACACCATTATCTTGGAATCTGAGTTTGTTTCCCTTAAAATATTATGATTAATGATTGTTTTGTATTGATAATGGATACAACAGATAACTTGGATACCATTGATGTGGAACTAGATGAGTTTTTCAAAAAGAAACAACGAAGTCGATGCAAAGATGAGTTCCTAGACACTCTCACTAAAGAAGCGCTTGATGAATACACCGTACCTGAGATAAACCTGTAGGATTTCAAGGAATCCCAAAATATGAAGCACAAAAAGTGTTTAGTGAGGTAGACGATGAGGATATTGTAGTTTCAATACACAACACATGGTGAAGTGGAACAATATGAAGTCGGTTCATGGAGAGAGGTATGAATCACCACACCAACAAAACCTTTGTTTGACCAACTACTCTATAAGTAGGGGTTATCTAATTAGGTCCAATAAATTTGATATTGTAAGGATTGTGGATATGTGTGCAAGAGACCTGGAGAAATTTCAATGTCCCTATGTGGTAAGGACCTCATGGATGAGCACTGAAATATCATTCCAAATAAAAAAAAAATGGTTGAGCAACATACTTGTGTTAGGAATTTTTGTAGTGCAAATCATATGGATCCCTCGTAGATAGCAAGGCCATTTCTGAAGGATATGGTTAGGAAACCAAATATGTAGTGTAAGGAAATGAAAGCTATTATTTAAGGCATATTCCATTGCAAGGTTTTATGGTCAAAATGTTATGGAGAAAAGTGTAGTGAAATTTCTTTAATAGATGAAAAGTTGAGTGATCACTATTCAAAAGTATAGGATTGTGGACATGAGTTGATAAGGTCCAATCCAGAGAGTACAATTCAAATATTTGTTATTAAAAACCCTGATATGACTACTTCTTTCCATAGAATGTATGCATGTTTTAAGGCTATTAAAGAATGATTGAAAGTAGGTTGTTGTAGAGTTATTAGTCTTGATGGAAGTTTTTTGAAGGGACGATGTAAATGTGATCCTACTAACTACCATATGGCTAGATGAAACTAACCATGTGTATCCCATTTCTTGGGTTGTAGTTGAAATTGAGAACAAGCCTAGCTGGAAGTGGTTATGATGACATGAAATTACAAGGAGGCATGGATTTGTGTGTTATTTCTTATCAACAGAAGGTAATGTCTTTAATGACCTTTAAATTTCATTTCATTTATATATGTATCAACTAGTTACTAATGAAAGGTATTAATGTAGTTTATAGGCTCTTTTGGAAGCTGCAAAGGTTGTGCTACCACATGTATAGAACAGACAATGTGCAAGATATGTGTATGCAAATTTTAGAAATTAGTGGTATAGAATTCAAGAATATGTTTTGGGTAGTTGCCAAGTCATTTGGTGAATAAGACTTCAAGTTAAATATGGATAAGACTGGAGAAATCAATCACATTGCTTATGATCATTTGATGGAAAGGCAACCTAAATCTTGGTGTAGGGTATACTTTAAAGGTGGAATGGCATGTGAGGTTGTTAAAAATGGAATTACATAGTGTTTTAATTCCATCATACTTAATACTAGAAAGAAGCTATTGTTTTCCATGCTTGAGGAGATTAGATTATATAAGATGGAAAAGTGCTTTACTCTAAAGCAAACTGCACATAAATAGGTGATTGATGTGTATCCAGGAGCTATTAAGAAGATTGATGAGTTTAGTATTGATATCAAGTATGTCTCCTAAATTTATGTATTATTACAATTATGGATATACTAATTAAAATTGTTATTATGTTTGCAGGAATTCATATGTTTATGCAAGTGGTCCGAATGCTTATGAAGTGATATATTGCTTCCCTTTATATGGAGTGAACCTAGAGGGGATATATTGTACATGTAGACTTTGGGAGTTGTCTGGGATACCTTGTGTCCATTCCCAAACATATGTTGAGGTTAAGATTGAAGGTGATGCTCCTGATATATCTAATATGGATCAAATAATGCATGATTTGATTTACTTGAGAGAATCAAAATATAGTGATGAAGAGATCATTAAGTGTCTTAATATCACTAAAGCACAACTTAAAGAATTTGATGCTTGCTTCAATAATCCAAATAACTTCCAATGGTATATTTTTAACTTTAATATGAATTTTATCTTTCTATGTTAGGATGTGCCTTTTGAGAGTCAATATGTACCAGAATCTCAGCCAATCCCAAGTGGAGTTGATGGAGTTTATGAAACACGAGAGGAGGAGGATGATGATGAAGATGAAGTTGATGAAACACAAGAGGATGATGATGAGGAAGATAGAGTTGATGATACTTAAGTTAGGGTTAGAACTAAAAATCCTTCTGAAAGGATCACCAAGATCATGTTGAAGAAAATTATGGTGGACAAGAAAGGAATAGGAATGAATCCTAACAAACGTCTTTACCTTGGAGTAGAATGATTAGGATTTAAGCCATTATGTGGGCTATTTGAGCAATGTTGTTAGTAAGCCTTTTTTGGTAAATTTGTTAATACACCATTTGTTTTGTAAACACTATACTATATGGTTGTCATATAACCTATATTGTAAACACTTTGGCTCTAAGTTGAGCCAATTTTTGTAAATTACGCATGTTTTCGTGATGTACAAGTTACATCCAACTTGGTAATTATGTTAGAGTAAAAAACATCCATTTATGCTTCTTTTGGAGATGTCCATTTGTTCATATCATACGATCCATTTGTTCGTTTGTTCATATCACACATCCAACTTGACATTGCTCAGACAGCAGGTATACAGAAAACCATTTTTTCATTGCCAAAAGATACAACTTACATCCAATTGTCAAATTAGTAATCCAAATTACATACATTCCCAAAAGATAAACGACAAACTAAAACTACTTCAAAATAATTGATATAATTACAAACAAACACTAAAACCCAATATTCCATTTTGCACATTCACCTTGTATAGGAACGCCTTCAATTGCTTCCACCGCAACTTCTTCCACAAATTCTTCTATAAAATCCTTGTTACTTGAATAACATTTTTGTGAAAATCCATCAACATTTCTATGTACTAGTTGTTTAGTAATGTGGGTTAACTCAAGCATAATACTTGCAATATTTTTCCACATCCTGTAATATTGGAAATAAATCCTAATTGATGAGATTTCAGGTGTACTTTAAAGAAAAAAAGGGTTACTTACCAACGGGGTCTTCACAAAAGCAACTCACCCTTAATGCTTGTGTAACACCCTCAAATTCGAGATAGTCAATTAAGATATTATAAGCATTAAAAATGAATGTTTGATAGAAGATTATTTAGGATAAATAATCTTAACCAAAGTTATTGTATAGGTGACAAGGATTCCATACGTATAAAGAACGCTAAAATCGAAGTTCGTACGAAGAAGTTATGCTTCTTCGAAGTTTCGTCATTAAACCAACATGACTCTGCATATCATAAAAATTGAAATTTTGATTAATTGCTTTTTAGCATAAGTAATCTAAACAAAAATCATAATAGCCATAAAACCGAGAGCATGCATATAAAGATCTTATAAAAATTGGCGCAGTGTCGAAAATGGAGTTCGTATGAAGAATATATGAATTTTTAAAGATCTTATAAAAATTCGCGCAATGTCGCGTGGATACAAGATGTAGGACACTCATCTGACATCCACCCAAGTTTCACAATGTGCCTTATTTCTAGTGTAGCCACGTCATCACCCAGCCGAGTGCACGACGCACACAGACAAGGTGTGATGCACGCATCTGCTTTTTTCGCTATATATAGCTTTCGAAGTCCAATTCGTTTCCCAAACCTTTGCAAACTCTCTCTCTCTCTCTCTCTCTCTATCCCTCTCTCTTTCTCAAAGTTTCTATCAATATTAGCTTCCATTTTCCTTAAGTTTTAGTCTTCGGCAAAGCCCTAAGGTCCCTAGGATCCCGAAATCTAGTAGCTAACACGTCAGAGTTCTGCCAACATAATTTCTAGACTTTTATCTAGGAAATCTATGTAAGTTAGATTACAATCAATATTATTGTTGTGTAATTTATATTTATATTCATAGTCGTTGTTATGAATTTATAAATAAGATTTGTCAGTGATTCCAAGTCATTATACTATATAATTTATATGTATAGCAAACCGATCCTACCTTCGATATGATCTTATCTGGTTTCTCCTTACTTGATAAATCATGAAGTAGACATCGAGATTGTTGAGAGATATATAGTATTAATTAGTCATAGGAAATAATAAACTAAGAATTAGTAATGTGAACCTTTGTCACACTAAAGGAAAAGATAAAACATACCAAGGCGAAGTTCTGCCCAAATTAAGAAGTATCAACTTTTATCAAATAAGTGCATAGTTATGTTAAATCTTATAAATAGATATGAAGTATCAAAATAATTAATGATATATGTGCCTAAGTGCAAAGATGTTATGTGTTAGATGAACTATTATATGATTTATACCATATATGTATTTTTATGAGTATAATACATTGGGTAACGAAGGATAATAAAAGATGATATGGTATGACGAAAGATAAAATTCCCTAGTGCAATGATAGATGTAGAAATGGTACTAGTGTGCCAATGATGTAAAAGTGATACTAGTGTGCCAACGATGTAGAAATGATACTAGTTTACCAACGATGTAGTCATTTAACAGATTATTGGTGATGACCACTAGACTACTTGATGATTGTCCCGTGGAACATAGGAAACAATCGACTCCATGCCTTTTTGATGTACCCTAACCTACTGACATGTATTGTTGAGAAATCCTTATAACAGTACTGTCAACAATGATGATTAAGATTAATCCTCAGGACAAATCCTTAGGAATGAAAACAATAAGAAAGCTACTGACAGTTATTATGGAGAAATCCTTGTAATAGTAATATCAACAAGGATGAGTATAATGACACTTATGATAGACCCTTAGGGAAGAATAATGAAGAAAACGTGGATGGGTAATCAGTTTAATATTTTGATAATTTAACATATTAACTATACTATTGTGAGTTGAAAACCTATGTACTCATCAAGTTTCCCTATTTGACCCATTAAGTTTCTTTATATCACAGGTAACAATACGAATGTACATTAAGTTGAGAGATTAAAGGAGATGTAGATGAATAGTATAAATTAATGTAAGAACTTTTTATGCTTATGTTTTGTATCGGTTATAACATCCCAAACTTTTAAAATATAAAATCTTCTTAAATGCCTTGATTTTAATATTATATCATGTCAATGATATTTTAGGCTTAATTCTACAATAACAAATATTTTAAATAAGCATAAATAAAAAGTTTTAAAATGACAGTAAAAGTGGGGATGTTGTTGGATTAATGTCTAAGTCCATAACTATAATTGGTAAGACTTGACCCGACCCGGCATGGTCCATTTGGGTTGCATGGCATCATGCACTTGGATAGACTATAATGAGAGAAATAAGACACTTATGGTTATTAATATATTATAAGTTCTAGTATATTAATAATAAGAATAATAAGATTATTTAATTAGTATTGATCAAGAATTAATCTAGGATTAATTAAGTGATCAAAAGAAGACTAATTAAATATATGGGTTGATTGTGTAAATCATCCATACTTATATAGTGGGCTAATGCTCCATGGATTATCTAGTTGGGCCAAAACCCATATGATGCTCCATGGATGCTCCATGGTGTATTTGAACCCATGGATCCAAGGAAATGGAAAGTCATGACAATTAGGGTTTACCCTAATTGTAACACTATATAAAGATATTATTCTTCCAAAATCGGTGACTAGATTATTCTAGAGAGGGCTAACCGATTTCATGAAGTGTTCTAGTTTCTCTCAAGTTATTCCAAGTGTATTTGATGTTGTGTGAACCATTTGAGGTGTCACACTTGGGGCACTAAGCACTCAAGCTTCATGAAGACATTCTACATCAAAGAGGTATGTATTCTATCTTGTTATATTGATAGTTTTGTATGCTAGATTAGGATAATACCTTGGATGTTCATATTTGCATGTATAATAGAGAAAACATAGATCCAAGGTATTTAGGGTTGCATGTACACTTAGGAGTGTTAGAATGCTCATAACCCAACAGTGGTATCAGAGCCTAGGCTTGTTTTCTTGTTATACCTGCAATAGAAGCTGAAAAATCGAGTTTTGATGCTGTCAGCCCAGCTGACTCGCCGAGTCCATGAAGGGACTCGACGAGTCCAAGGCAAAATGCATCCAACTCGCCGAGTTGAGTTCATGCACTCGACGAGTTGGACCCCAGACAGCATATCTTCGAGGTTTTTGGCTAGAAATGGACTAGGAACATTACCCTAAGTTGTTTTGAACTTATAAACTTGTTTTTAAATGTGGTAATGTTCATGCTAATCCATTTTCAAGATAATTGTCAATAGATTCATGTTTTGTATTAGTTTAAAGGTTAGACTAATTACATGAAAAAGTTTGATTTGAATTATCTTGTTCTTATGAGTTGCTTAGATTAATAGAAAAGTTGAGTGAAAAAGTTGTTTTCAATCCAAATTAATCTAAGAGTTGAGTATAAAATGTGTTTGTGTAACTTATCCTTAAGTTACATGAAGAGTCACATTAAAGACTCATAAAACTCATAAAGTTGGCAAAGGTTACAAAAAGATGAAGAGTCTTGTCCTTAAGTTATGGAGGTTCAAGAGTCACTTCATTAATAAATAAATAAATAAAATATGTAACCTTAATTAATTCCATAAGTTATAAAATAAAAAAAAGATTAATTCTTTATTAGTTTAAAGTCTTCCATAATTTGTCCACAAGTTATGGAACTTGAAGAGTTTTTGGATTAAAACTACTTTAAATACATAAGTTATGGAATTAATTAGTTTTGAATAGTTTCAAAACTTGCCCTCAAGTTTTGGAATTTGTAAAGTTTTCTCTTATGAATACTTTAATTCCAAGTTAGCCCTTAGAATTTTAAAAGTTAAAATTCAACCCTTATACTTTATAATATTATAAGTTAATAATATTTATATGTATAAGAGTAAAGTCGGTCTTACCGCTAGTACGCCTCATTCACGAAGCCGGTCTATAAGGTGGGTATAAGGTTGTTGCCTATAAAATGGCAACTTAATGGGTGTTCACTCTCACCCACCGCTCGCTTGACTGGTGGAGGGTCGTTAGCCGAACGGGTTTGACATGACTATAATTCTCCCTTCATTAAAAGTATTAATGATAAATACTAAGTAACTAAACTTTTAATAATACCCAATCTTAGTTACTTAGAAAATGTGAATAAGGTGCTAATCCATGAAATTACACTTTGCACTTT